GCTATGGGGGACAACACTGGCGACACAGTGCAGGAATTGCACCCAATCTGACCCCACCACACAGAGGTGAAACACTAAGGGTGTGCAACAGAACAGCAAGGGGAGCAGAGCAATCAAGTCCCCAGGGAATACCAAAAATAGACTTTGGGGCCAGGGCATGGCATCCCATCAGACTCAAACATTCCTAAAGGTCAACAAACATTCCTTGAACTATTTACAGGCTTTTCGTTTTGTTTTGTTTTCTTTTGTTGATTTGTTTCGATCTCTCTTGTTTTTTTGTGCATAATATTATCTCTGAAGGTCTATCTAGATAAGATAGGCGGGATAAACAATCTGAAGGAGAAAACAGGACCGACAGTTCTGGGGGGACATGGGAGAGGGGGAGGTGGGGGAAAGGAAGTGGGTGTTAACAAACCCAGGGACAAGGGAACAATAACTGATCCAACATTGATGACAAGGAGGGTATAAGCAGCCTGGTAGGGCTTGATCAAGGGTAATGTAACCAATCAAGAGGAATTACTGAAACCCAAATGAAGATTGAGCATGATAGTGGGATAAGAGGGAAGGAAAAAGGAAAGAACTAGGAGGTAAAGGGTATTTATAGAGGTCTAAATACAGGCATGTACATAATGTATATATATTTTTATACGAATATGGGGAAATAGTTCTATGCATGTATGTATAGGTTTAGTATTAAGGTAGCAGATGGACATTGGGCCTCCACTCAAGTACTCCCTCAATGCAAGAACACTTTACTATTAAACTGGCATTCCATGATGCTCACCTTCCCAACACGATCGCTGAAGACAAAGCGGGTGCATAAGCGAATGTGAAGAAAGCTTATGGTGCCTGGCCATCAAAAGATATAGCATCTGGGGTCTTCTTAAAGGCTTGAAGATAAATAAGCGACCACTGAGGAGCAACAAAGCCCACATGGAAGAAGCACACCAGCCTGTGTGATCATGAGGTGTTGATAGGATCAGGTATCAGGCATCAAAAAATCATTGTGAATGAGGGGGAGTGCAGAATAGAGACCCAAAGCCCATCTGTAGGCAACTGGACATCCCTTACAGAAGGGCCATGGGGAG